GTCTCAGGAAAGACAAGGCTGACATGCATGGTTTAGGAAGTGAGGGATAAGATTAATGGTTGATGGTTGACGCTGTTAGTGCATGGCATGTGAACTGTCTTTGCATTATTCTATGCAAGTCTGTTTTGTGCGTGATTTTGGATTGAACTGGACCTGGTCTGTTGAAGAGTCTCGGACACACAGCACTTGTGAAAGTGGAAAGGGTTCTCGGCGGTAATACTTCCATATTCATCTTATGTCCAACTTAACTTTTATACTATTCTGAAGTTCAGCTAAGTCATAACGTGATAAGAAAGATAGAACGCCCTTTGCTAGAAAGAAAGGTTGATTGATATTTGTCAAAAGAATAATATATTACGCAGTAGCGGAAATAAACTGCCTTTCAAAAGTTCGACCTGAATATCCAAACAGGTCAGTTCTAAGCGTCTTACCGCGTGTACCCCATTTTTTGCTACAATGATCGAGCAAACGCCCTCGACCGACCTACCTCTACAAAGGCATGTAAAAGCCTTTGCATATAGGCCGGTAGCTCAGCAGGGATACGCCTACCTGAGGGTGGTGACAGCCCTTCGGGTAGAGGTAAGTTGTACCTCGCGACGTCCCGACCTGTCGCAGGGTGTCGTGAGAGGTATAGCACGCGCGCACGGTCTGAGTGATGACTGGTTCTTTTTCAAGAAATACATTCTGCATGACACGACCATGAGGTTCGGTGCTCCCCGCGGGGTGCGGGACCGCCGCGCGCGACAGCGTGTCAGCTGACATTTGAGTGTCGAACACAACCCTCGAGACCATCGAGGACCGCTCGATTATGGGTACTACATAGTACGCCATCATTGTGATTGCTTGCGAATGCTTGCATGACTTAGTCGATACGAAAAAGCCTTACATCCTCGCGGTTTTATATTAAGACACGCGCGCGATACCTAACCGATTTTCGTATCAGAAGGTTATGGGTGAGAAACTAAAGGGACTAGGAGTGTTTTTGTTTTGTGTGATGGATCTTACTTTTGTTCTGGCGTGGTGTAACGGGTGGTAAGAAGGATGTGTCCTAGTCGACTGGCCACGAGTCCCGCTTGGGACTTCAGCCCCCCAGTGGGTCGGCTTGCATACGGGTCCGATAAAGGCGTGGAACCGCTCGTACCCCCTATGCTATAGCGTACGAGAAAACGCCCTCGGCTGGTCCACCTCTGCGATTGCATATAAAAGCTTTCGTACTGTGGACTAGTAGCTCGACGGAGATACACCCACCTCAGGGATGGTGACAACTCCTGCTGGTGGAGGTAAGTTGTCCTCGCGTGACCCTATCCTGTCATAGGGGTTCACGAGAGGTATGGCTGACACACTCGGCCGGAGCGGCAACGCTCTACGACTAAAGTCCTACCAAATCCTGTGTGACGCGGCCGAGAAGGTCCCCTTTCTTTGCGGGGACCGCACGCTCGACACCGGGTCTCGGGTCCGAAGGGCGCAAGGGGATAATTGTCTATGACGCCCACAAAAAAAAATAAAAAAAAATAAAAAAAAATAAATAAAAAAAAATTCCGAATTCGAAGGCCAGAAAGTCCTAACAACCCCTTTTCGATGGCCAGGGGATTATTGAACGATGAACCCCACCATCAATTTTCCACGACACATCCCACATTGATTTACTGTGAGGGCAAGGGTGCACAACCCGAAGTTTGTTTGTGTGGTTGAGGAAGGGTAAGGCAGTGATTATGTTATATGTAAGTTTGGTCATGTTCGTTATACACCACTCGAAGAGTGTGTATGTGTGGGGTCCCGGATGATGCTTTATTCACGATGTCCATGGGATGTTGGACCCAGTTTCCAGCATATGTCGCTGCCCACCAATAGGCAGGAGAATGTGTGTATGCATGTGTGTATGTGAGAGTAAGTGTGTGTGTGTGTGTGTGTGTGTGTGTGTGTGTGTGTGTGTGTGTGTGTGTGTGTGTGTGTGTGTGT